AAGAAGAATCAGAGAATATTTTCCAAAAATGAAATCATACATTCAAGCTCAGAGGGGTTACCACCACTTCCTCTCCCTTCTTTTGATGATTTAATTCCAAATAACTGTGGGGAGTGCTTGGGTTGGCTTTTTTTTCAGAACCAGGAATTATGTCCCTTTTTTTTTTTGTTTCCAGCACTGCAAGCTCACAGAGAAAACACTTTTTAGCTGCTACATGCGAATGGCAGACCTTTGTGGAAATGAAATGAGAATCGTTGAGTTGCGCTCCATACATTCGGTGGTCCGACTCAGGAAGGAACGAACCGAAAGGAACATAAACCTAACTGGTTGCACGTCAGGCACAAACAGCAGAACAGGAGTGAGAGAGAACTCGTCCGGAAGTCAAGGGGGGACGGGAAAAAAAATAAGTTAACTTGCTTACCTGTCAGACACAGCATGCCTCAGCCAGCTCATGCAAATTGAATGTATTCACCAAACATGTGTGTGTTTCTTCATTACCAGATTAATAAGCACATTGGGAAGGCAATTAGGCATGCAGAGCAGTTCAACATTCATTCCTTGATCCGTATGGATTTGGTATTTTTTTTTCTTTCCTTCAGAAACTGAATCCATGAGCAGCACTTTCAACGTCTACGAAAGGAAAGCGTGGGCTCTGCCCTCCAAATGGGCTGGGACACAAAATTCCTTTAGGATTCTTCCTCAGGGCTTCCCAACCTTGGAACTTCAGATGTTTTAAGAGGACAACCGTCTACGAAAGGAAAGCGTGGGCTCTGCCTTCACGAGCTCTGAGCTCCCCCTCCAAATGGGCTGGGACACAAAATTCCTTTAGGATTCTTCCTCAGGGCTTCCCAACCTTGGAACTTCAGATGTTTTCAGAGGACAACGCCCAGAAATCCTGGCCAGTACAGCTAGTGGTGAAAGCTTCTGGGAGTTTTAGTCCAAAAACATTTGGGGACCCAAGGCTGGGAAACACTGCTCTAAGATCTTTCCAGTGGTCATTCACTAAGCCTGATGGGAGTGTGAAGTGTTCCAAGATATTTTGAAAATTAATCCTGATTTAGCTTCCTTCCTTCTCTCTTTTCCTGCCTTTCTAACTTCCTCCTCTTTCTTTTCCTGCCTTTCTAACTTCCTCCTCTTTCTTTTCCTTCCTTCCTTCCTTGGTTTTAAAGTTCTGATTTAAACGTACTTCTATTTCACAACCATTGTTTTCTGCTCAATCAGACTTTCAACATGGTTGCGGTTGGTTTGAATTGGATTTATTTCAAGGGCGTTGGACATGATCCAACTGCAATGAGTGTCTCTAAGTTCTGATCCTAATGGAATTGGCAGTCATGGTAGACTAGGAAGGACCTCTTTCATTGAAACATTTTTGATAGACCAGGCAATGCAAAACCATGTACAGTATTCTTATTATTTTTGGTGTTATTACCTTTGGTCTAGATGGGTGGGGTATG